CCACTGGTTTGTGGACTAGTGTTTTGAAGCCTCAAGTTCAGCCTTTCAGCAGTCGCCATTTTGGATTTTGGACGTCGTTGCCATCTTGGCTTTTTACAACCAGAAGTGACAAAAGAGGGTGGAGCTAAGTACAACCAAACGCTGAATAAGATCATTTTCTAGGCGACCAAAAAGGTTACAATTTACTTTCATGAACTTAAAAACAAACTGTAAAATGATTAAAGAAAACTCAGACAACTCCCAGAGCCACGCCTATAGCACTTACCCTGCTTTATCGTCTATTTTACCCTCAATGGGACCATCATTTTGATCATGTTGTATTGAAGAAGACTTTAAACTGGCGATTGAGACCATAAACTCACATTTATAATGTTTACTGAGGTAATAAATCAAGAGAGAAGTAGAGTCATTTTCTCATAGAGTTCCATACAATCAGACTTCTTTTCGCAACCAGAGCTGGCCATTTGAAATAACGCAAGTTTATGGCACTTACGCAATTGGCTTCACTCTTCAGACCCGGACCGGCCGGCTAATCACAGATTAGCTCAAATCCATCAGGGTCAAATCCTAAAATGGAGGCAATAAATAATATCCTGTTGAATTAATGTTTGTAGATTTTCTGTAGTCAGTTTCCTGGAAGGTTTTGTCCACTGCACAGTGTCAGTGCTCTGGTAGATCTACAGTCCAAAGCTGCTGTTCTGTCCTACACCTGGGCGTTATATTTGCCACTGCTGTTCAAGTCTGCCTTTGTTACTTTTAATAACTGTGACTGTATCACAGAATCCTACTAATGTGGACGGTACCCTGGCATGGGAAATTGCTGCACTCAGCACTACGCTCCATAATGCATCGCTTATGTCTCCGCTGCCTATTAAGCGTTTTACAGGACCTCTAGAAGCATTTCCTGTTTCATCACTAGTGAGTGGCTGATCATACATCAGCCTGGCAATGAAGGGATGGAGATCACTGCCAGCTCTGTGATTTGTTTGCCTTGCCATGTAGCCTGAAAGTACCAGCATATATTTAGATTTCTAAATGCCCCGCTAACGTAACTTAGCAGATGTTGGGGAGTCATATGGATGTTGGTGTAACAGAGACCCCCTCAGGTATTCTCATTATTCTACAACTGAGCAGATGGCAGGGAAACTTACCACACTTACCATTATCCATCATACATATTCTGCTCCCAATTTACATAGGCTTCACAGGAGCTCCTACAGGGAAAGTACCTAGCTCCAGGATTGCACTACAGCTCCACCTGAGGCTTAGGAAGACAGTCTGAGATGTCACTGCCACTACGCCTCAAACTCAAATATGCTAATAGTTGTACAGAGGAATTCCGATGGGTGCATCCCAGTTGTATATTTTGAATTGTGCGGGAGAAAAAACTGCAGCTCGATGATTTTTAAATAGATAAATATCAATCAGGAAATTTTTTTACTGTGAAACAGCCTTATAAGATGGTGAACTAGTGTTTTTATTGTATTCTGGAGTCTTTATAGCTTATCAGGACCTCAAGTTTCAGAACTGATACCTTTAGAAACCTTTCAAACTCAAATTAGGAATCATAATTTTAGCATCTACAGACCCTGAAAACCTATTTTCTGAACCAGCTTCTTACTAAGTTTGTGTAGCACTACGGAGCCGTGTTTTTACTCATGGGTCCATGTTTTATTTGTTGTGATGCATGAGCAGAACCAAATAGGTGATGAGATACATTATGCCCCTACCATAAAGCGCTACTGTGAAAACCACGCCCACCGGAGGGAAAGTCAATAAGCGCCACACAATATGCAACCGAGGGACGAAACGCGAACAAAATGCCTGAAGCTAGCTAAAAACGTTACATTTCAGCATGACAAACGGTGATTTTAGCTCCCCGTGTCTATCACGGGTGCAGTTGATAACTAAAATGTTGACGGGATGGACAATTTCGATGGTAAGCAAGCTAATGTTAGCTATGTGTTGGCATGTTGCTCGTTAGTTTACGCACTTGCAAACATAATACTGCTTAGCTTTCTGATGTATCCAAATTTTATTATAACACAAAGTATCATACTGTCAAAATATAGTTAGCCTAAAGCTGACATTTTGACAAAATGCTTGCTGATTGGTCCACTGTGACTGAGCTTTTAAACCGGGAAAAAAAAGAAGAAAAAAAAACAGAGATGGAATGAAATGGACTCATTGTGTATTTATCCTACTGTTTTTACCGAACAAATGTCAATGATTTTCTTTTTTTTTTTAGCATGCACTTAGTATGTACTTAGCATTGTGCATACTAAGTGTCAGGATCTCACAGTTTTCCTACACTATGTCCTGTTGCCTGTATTCTCAGGTTTTTGGTTCGGCAGCTTCTAAAATCTTAGTTTTGGGTTCTTTACCCTGTTGGTAGTGCCTCCCACCACAGAGCAGCTTTTAGGCATTTCTTCTGTTGTATGCTAGCAGACGAACGAGACAAGGGGGCACCTTCACGCACCACAAAGTCAATGGAGAGCATTGAATAGTTTTCCCCTCTGGACTGGGCGGGTTTTAATTGCGCTCTGTCTCTGTAGACCAGTAGTTGTCTTTGAGTCGCAACCCCCCCAAGAAAAATCAGGAAATCCCCCTTTAGAAACTCATGTTCAGGCACATTTTGACTCTCACAAACACTCAATAGAATCTATTCTGAGGCTCATTATATCACTAGTTTAGGCAATGCAATTTAAAAAACATTCCCCAGTCTCAAATATGTTTTTTTTTTTTTTTATATGTTTTTAATTTGCTTTCTCCACAACCATCTAGCAACCCGCTGAAATTTTCTTTGCAATCCCGTTGGGGGTCCCGACCCCCAGATTGAGAACCACTGCTATAGACTGTATACAAGATGTGGACCTATAGTCGCTGTGACTTACCTATTGGTTTGTGGACTGCTGTTTTGAAGCCTTGAGTTCTGCACTTTGGCTGTCACCATCTTGATTTTTTTTGCAGTCAGAAGTGACACGAGACACAACCGAAGTACAACCTAAAGCTGAATGAGAGCAATGTGTTACAATTAACTTTCATGAACTGAAAACACACTGTAAAAGGGTTAGAGTTGTCATCTATTTTCCTTTGAATGTGACCATAATTTACGAGATGAACATCATGCTGTATTGATGACGAATTTTTTGACCTACTAAAAGAACCTCTTCCGCTTCAACAGAATGTTTAGTGTTTCCTTTGGCTTAGTTGTAAGTGAAAACAATAACTGTAATTTCTGTGTAAGTGTGTGTCTGTTTGTGTATGTGCACTGCCCAGGAAAGTAGTCTTCACAATTAGCGATTTAGAACATAAACTCATGTTTACAGTGTTTACTGAGATTATAAATCAATTGAGAAGTCGGGTCATTTTTTTCATAGGCTTCTTTTTTCAAGCAGAGGTGTGGCCCCCTAATGGCCATTAGAAAGAATGCACCTTTCAGTCTCGGATGTTGCCGCCTGATCCAACATTTTTACAGTCTGTTGCTGATCTACAGGTGGAGGTAACTTGCCAAGAAATGGAGCAGTGCAACTACGAAGTAAACATATATGTAAACAACGCAGTTTTGAAAATGGGGGAGAAAAAGGGATTTACAATTGGGCACCTTTAATAAGAAAACTGAAAACTTACCAACCAAAGCATTGATTCAGATGGGTGTTGTTTGCAGAGTGAATTATTTATTTTTTTATGTCAAAATGAACTCATAGCAGGGAAAATGAGGTCGCAGGTCGCAGTCATCGCCACATTTAACGCTGTTTTTCAGCTGCTCACACTAAAACACTGGCACTCTTAAGTGTTCACATACCTTCCTCATTATGTGAGTCACACATGTATACACACAGGCTGATGATTTGCACAGCACTGTTCATTCCACACTGGAGTTTGGTTTTTGTTGTTTTCTTTTTGTTGCCCCTCCTCCTCTCTTCCCTCTGAATGGCTCTCAGTGGCGGAGGGGAGCAGCGGCAGTGAGGCAGCACTGGGCCTGAAGGGCACTTTTCAGCCTGGCCAGACACACTCGGGCCTTGCTGCTTGGCTGCGCAACATGGGTCACCGCCTTACATTAGGAGGACCCTGCCAAAATCAGCCAAGCGGAGCCCTGCAACATACCTGAAAACGAAGGAACAAAGTCGAGGCTCCGCTGCGACGAAAACAAGCGTGTTTGACCGTAAGAATGTGATGTCACATCAAAAAAAAGAAGAAAGAAATATGAATATCTCAAACATAAGGTGTCTCATTGGTGGATGGATTTTTCCAGCCATAAATCTCCAATCACATTACCTCTCTACTAATTATAACTGATGAAAAGCGCAGGCCGGTGGTTTTGATTGGTGTGCCTTGTGTCTTGGCACAGCCTGGGAATAAAATCGTCTCCTGTGGAGCCCTTGGGTGCTCCCGCTGAGGTCACGAGGGGAGACTTAAAGCAGACCTTATGTGTCAGTCGCTGTTATTTATTTGGAGTTCAGGCTCCATTCATCACCCCACTGCCACTCCGAACCGTCTCCCCTCGCATGGGGAAGGCAGCGGCCACATCTCCTCCCCGCTTCTCCCCCTTGCATCCCACCTCCACAGTCCAATGATCGACGTTGCGAGAGAGGCACCTCAAGGTGGGGCTAAACGGTCTTATATTCCCAATCATGTCGCGTGGGCGGAGTCCGACTCTCGTGCTCATTGCTTACGCTGCTGCCCGCCCAGCCTGTACTGTATATGACGAGGGGGATGTGAGTGAGTGAAATCAATCCACACTTCTTATTTGTCACAGACACTTTTTTTTGTGGGTAATTTGGCAGGAAGAGTGGAGGGGGGTGGTTTTGGATCAGTGCGCCACATTACAGGAAAACGTGCCCTAGTTCGTGTCAGTAGTAGAAATCAGCAGTCTCTCTCTCTCTCGCGCGCGCGCGCTCTCTCTCGTTCTCTTTTCTTTTACGCACGCCGTACTCCAGTGAAGGCAACGGCAGTTCAGATCAGATTTCACATTGAGCTCCGACCAGCTGAGAGAGAGACAGCCAGAGAGCAGAGGAGGACTCGTGTCTCCGCTTTCCTCTCCGATACCCCCGCCAGAAAAAGAAGCCCCAGCGAGGAGACGACCGGGTGCGCGGCGCAGATATTAAAAAACACTACCGGGATTTTTTTTTTCTTCATCTTATATGTATTTTTGCAGGATTTCAGCAGCGAGAGCGCCACAGAGAATTAGATAGAGAAGCAGAAGCAGAAAAAGAAGGAGAAGAAGAGATGGACGAGCAGACGAGGTTGATGCACTCTCACACGGGGGTAGGCATGGCAGGGCACCCCGGCCTGCCGCCGCATATGCAGGAGGGCAACGGAGGGACGGACGGCGACGGAAGAAAACAGGACATTGGAGACATTTTACAGCAAATCATGACCATCACGGATCAGAGTCTGGACGAAGCTCAAGCCAGGTAAAGATTCTTCTCCTGTCTACTGGAGGAGGCGGCGGCGGCGGCAAAAACTAGACACGCGCTACAAAAAGGGAATATTAAAAGAAAAATGTGTATTGCTAAATTTACAATACAGCGCGGTGAAGATGGGACTTTAAATGTGAGGGCTTTTTTTTTTTGCACAGCCGTGTGCAAAAGCCGATATAAAACAACGATGGCATGCCTGTAAAATTGGCTTCACATTTCAATAAGTCACTGCCGAAGGAGAAAATAAAAGTGTATGAATGTCATTACTGTGACATGCCAACGGGTCGCCCACGGAGAGTATTTATTTATTTTTTTCTAAAGAGCTTTACACCTCAAACACAGTCAAGGTGCGTTCACGAGACCCAAAATATTACGGCTAATAATTTATTTTTGAAATGTAATGACCGACTAGCAGTTTAAAGTGGCTCACAGGTCGTTCACAGCGCGGCGAGCAGATGCAATGTAACTTTACAACTTGTGATACACATTTCATCCATTTTGTGTAATTCACTTTAAATTAAGCGAGGACCCAAAGTTATGCATTTCAAATGTTTTGTTTTATTGACAAAGCTGGTCAGAAAAAAAAATATGAATTGTATAATTTTATAATAACAAGACAACAGACGAAGCTAAATAAAATGCTGCACCAGTTACTTTGCACATGTGTACATATAAAGTTGCTCTTAATCTGAAGTCTGAAGAATAGCTGTATTATTTGGGCCTGGAATTGTACTCTAGCATTTATCTAAAAGGTTAAAAAAAATAAAATAGAAATGATAGTTTAGGCAGCCTCGTTGTCCAATAATGTCGAGGATGAATAGGTGTTAGATGTAATATATGTTTCTGTGGTTTGATTCTGAAGCCACTTCTCTGTTTCAGGAAACACGCTCTCAACTGTCACAGAATGAAGCCAGCTCTTTTCAATGTCTTGTGTGAAATCAAAGAAAAAACAGGTACGTTCACGTTAATTCTGCACCACGAGCAGAGGAAGCTAAACACTGCACCGCTGTTGTCCACACACTGTACCAGAACTGCTCCAGGTCTCCCCAACCACCTCAAAAGAATACAGTATTTGTTCACAAATGGAGCATGTGGCTCGCATGAAAAAAAAAAAGAAACACCAGAGAGGCACCAGCTCTTGTGAGGGCTATTTTATCATCGACGTGTAATGTGCTATTCAGACTCCGATTCACAAAAGGAGAACCCTGATGTTGGACACACAACACAACACAATTGGCCATATAAATTTCACTGACATGTAAAACATGTGTTTCCTCTTGTAGCTATAAAGTCTGCATGTTTTTAACTCTTTCACAGTGGGCTCTGTGGACAATTACCTCGAGCAGGTCTTATCAATTATGGTGTCAAAATATGAATGAGGAGGTTTTTTTTGGGGGGGGGGGGGTTGGTTTTAAAAAAAAAAGTTTTATTGTGGAATAATAGAGAGTATTGAGCAAAATTGTCACAAGCGCGTTGATGTCTCCCCTCGCGAGTTAACTGTCAAGTCTGGTGAAAACGTCTCTTTCCATTCTGTATTGTGCCTCTCTCTATTAAAGCAGTTGTGAGAGAGCGTGTCAGCAGAATAATTGCTAGGAGAGAAATAACGCAACATGAGGCGTAAGTCATGTTTCCAAAAAATCAAACCCCCCCCAACCCCTCCACGTGACATTTTTTGAAATTGCCAGAGATGGAATTCGGTGCACCTCAGACCGACAGCGTGCCTCTCATCTTTTTTTATTTATTTCCCCGACGCTCTACAGGACTCCTCAAAAAGTTACACTGCTGAGAGGTATTGAGTGGCCGCAGCGTGCCACTTTCCTTCGGAAGGCAGCGCGTTCTGTGTGTGTTTCACACTCATTAGTGCATGAAATCAAGTGGAATGGATGGGAGGACGAGGAGGGGATTCTTCTCATTGTCTCCAGAGTTGCACTTGACCTCTGCGGGGCGGCGGCGGCGGAGGTTTTTCTCCTGTGTGATCACACACCTCGCCTGGTGCTTTCATGGATGTTTTCATTGAGGTTTTTTTTTGTTTTCCATTGAAGCTCACCTCGCTGCCTAACCCGCAAGCCCCGGCAGTTTATCTTGAGTCGGCCTCTGCCTCGGGAGAGAGCAAGGGGGGCCTTTTGAAGCCTGCTGGCTCGCTCCTCTGCTTTATTTTTTTTGTGTTGTCTTGGTAGGTTTCTTTTGGAGGGGGAGTGACACAGTTATGCATAGTGTTTTACTCCCTGGCGCTTCTCGTGAGTTCATCCAAAGTTCGGCTCTGCCGAGAGTACAAAGTAGCTTGGACCTCTTCCTGCCTGCACAGCCATTCTTCTCCCTTTCAGCTTGGCAACCTATAAATACGAGGTGCAAGCTCGCTGGGAGCTCCACGCAGGAGATCTGGTGCTCGTCTTGTTTGTGTCGTCTTCCTTTTCATCCAGTCGGCTTTGTTCTAAGTTTTACTGTGGAGCGCTTCACGGTTAATCACGGTTCAAACTGTTTTCTCTAATTCTGGTATAATTTCTAAGATTGTTTTTATATCACTTCAAATGTACTGGTATTCTCTAATAAGCCTTCTGCTAATCCTGCTGGAGGTTGATTTGCTGTTATGGTGCTATGGTATTAAAAATCACCACGAGTTCAGAGTGGTCATGCTCCAAACACAACTTAACCTTCGTCACTGTCAGTTTTAGTGTAAATAAAACAAGATCGAGTCTGTCGAAAAACATAATTTCACTCACACACCGGGGAGAGAGAGAAAGAGCCTGGGTATGAATGTTGTGCTTTACTCTAGCTTCATCAGGTCCACTCATCAAATATAGAACATAGGCTTGATAATGAATTCCATTTTAATTTATTTATGTAGCGCCGAATCATAGCGGAGGTTATCTCAGGGCACTTTTAATTAATACGAATAGTATTTTACTCTCCTGGTTGAACTCAAAGTGTTGTGGAGTCCACTTCCGCTGGCGAAACCGTCCAGATTTGGACATTTGCAGCACTGTTTTGCTCGTGTCTCAGTAAATCTCGCTGGTTCAATATGAACGTTTAGAAGAGGTCGCAGCTTGTTGCTCCCCCTAGTGGTTTGGTCTTCTTTGGTAATTGAATTTAAACATATATTAAAGTCGCTGACGAGGGTTAAAAATAATGCTTGTGACCTATTTAATTTGTTATTGAGTGGTGCTTTTCACTTCAGTTGAAGTTTTGATGGTCAGATGGACAGCTGTGATGGTCGGAGGCCGTTTGACCTTTGCCATGTTGGGAAGTTAGTAGTATCATGGTATTTGTAGTTTTGAAGTTGGCAGTAGTGAAACAAGTCATTTGTTTTTCTTTCGACGGGAGGCTGAAAATGAGAGAGTGCATGATGCAACTCTGTTTGTTTTTGTGTTATTGTCATTATTCCCTTAGTCTTAGTGATGAAACTGATTGGAAACAAACCTTTCTCGCCTCCTCCTTTAACACTCTCCCAGTCCCACCTCTAACACCGTCTATACACACAGAGTGTGTATAGACCGGCCGAGTCCAGCGGCTTCAGCCTCTCCTCGGAGCTGCAGTTGGAACTTCTTTGTCCTGAGTACCACACGAGCACAGACCCCGGTGTGTGTGTGTGTGTGTGAAGCCACAGAGCCGCTGTTTGCTTGTGTGTGTGAGTGTGTGTGTGTGTGTGTGTATATTTTCCGTCCCCGGAGCGGCTGACAGCACCTGCAGGACACAATGCCAGTGTTGATCTAGGGCCTGAACTTCTGACCTGCTCTGTGTATTTTTACCGGGCTCAAGTGAGGGACGGCCAACAGAAATATTGTGCAGCATAAACAAGCACAATGGTGCAGCAACACCAGAGAGGAAGGGACAAGGACAACACACTTTAGTTAATCCACTGCTATTTTTCTTCTTCTTCTTCTTCTTCTTCTTCTTCTTCTTCTTCTTCTTCTTCTTTTTGGACAGACATCGGCTTCGTCTTTACCCGGTTTCATTCCAGGCATATTTGGGTTGTCTTTTTTACTTCAAAGGAATACTGTTTTTCAGACACAGTGCATGAGTGTGTGTGTGTGTGTGTGTGTGTGCGTTGCGTAGTACATTCCTAAGAAGAGACGAAGCATTAAATACACAAAGCATAATAATTATTGTGCTCATGTGTCCGAAATGTGGAGCAAAGGTAAAAAAAAAAAAAGTTCTCGCAGAGACTTTTCCAAATAAATAAATCCAAATAATTTGACTCGGCTGCCATCGGCCCATGAAACCGTATCCTTCCACTAACTGAAAGCAAGTTAAGCAACGAGAGGCACAAAATCAAATATGACACGACTTAATCCAAGATTTCTCTCTCTCTATCTGTAATCTATCCATCTGTCTGCGCCGATATCACAGATGGTTTGAAGGTGGACTGCTTTCTCTTGGTCTTCACCATCAGTTCTTTTTTTTTTTATGATTGATGAAAAGGCCTCTTTAGATAAGCAAATGCTCGACAAACTGATTTGGAAAATGAGCCGTCTTGACCCCTGTAAACACTTCACCAACATCATAAATCTCAAGCGGTGTCAAACAAAACCGCTCCTCGAATGAGCTGCTCAGTAAATGCTCCGCTCTGACTGGCTGGTTCATTTGGACTTTCTTTTTTTCTTCTCCCTCTCAACCTCAACAAAAGGCCGGCTTCTCTCGCGGCCCCGTGTTTGTGTAGTGTAAGGTTTCCAGCCTCGGGGATCCTCCATTTATAAAAAATGACTCGCCGAGTGATGTAATGTTATTTCTTGAAGGGTGAAAACAGGGTGTTTTACAGAGGGCGGCAGAGTTCGTGTTTGACAGGGTGAAATGAGCCAGGGGTCTGGTTATGGAAGGTGCATGGGAGCCTTCACCACATCGACTTGTCGGTCCATTCAGGTGCTTGGCATCTGCCTATTTGTATTACAGCCGCTGCGTCACTGTATAAACACTCCAGAGCAGCCTTCATAGGGGATCAGGTAGCATTTCAGAAGTAGTGCGGTCTGGTGGTGTTGTGCTGAGACAATTAGTCCTTTTCATCGATTGGTCTATTGATGCAAAAATGAATCTCCGACGATTTTGATAAGTAATTAACCGATTAGGTCACGATTAAATGAACACGCCAAACATTCTCTTGTTCTGGTTGTTTGCAGCTTTTCTTTGCTTTGTATCATTTAAACTGAACGTCTTTAGGGTTTGGACTGTTAGTCGGACAAAACCAGGGCTGCAACTAAAAATCACTTTTGCTAACGCTTAATCAGGCTATTATTTTCTGGATTTATCGATTTATGTATAAAACCTTAAAATTGAAACCATCACATTATCCGAGTTTCCAAGGTAACTTTGTCTTGTCTCTCCGACCAACAGTTTAGCTTTTTCTGCAGGTTTTGCTTTTAAAATGATGTAAACGATTAGTCAATTTTCTAAAGAAGTGCCGATTTGGCGTCTTCCTATCGACTAATCAATGAACTGACCAACCGCTGCGGCTCTAGATGAGACGTTTGACGACTCTGGAAGTTTGTGATTGACGTTCACATTTTATACACCGAGCAACTCATCAACTAATTGAAAAAAAAAATATCAACAACAACTTTATTAAAAATGAAAAAAAAGCATTGAAAGGACAGCAACTAACTTCTTTTTTTCAGTCCCCATCAATCTGTCTATTATTCTGCGATGTGATGACGTGCCAAAATCGCCGCCACAGCTGATTCCCCAATCTCTCTGCTTAATCATCCACTGAGAGAGAGAGAGAGGAAGACCTGAAGTGTAATTCTGCTCCGAGTTTGTAGACAACAGGGAAAAATGTGTATTGATCAACCGGCGTCGGGCACTTTTGCCTGCATTCGACGCAGAATCCTAATCACAGGATCATCAGTGAGTGACAGCGTCGTAAATGGCACGTTAATACCATTACAGTATAGAACAATGTGCTTACATTATACATTATGCTAATTGTCAGTCGCCTAATTGATACGTGTTAATCATATTAAGG